CCTTCTTCCTTTGCATGATATCTTCTGCACTACTTCCTGCTACCACAACTTTACTCTCACTATCACTCGACATTTTTTTTTTTTAAAGATTTTTAGTCTTTGTTAAATTCACACAGATTCTGAAATATACGTCTGAACTTCCCGAGTTTCTCAGCGATATTGTTCAACAGCGTACATAATGTTCAAATGCTAAGCACGCAGTCACACGTTCGTTTACATCAGGTCACACGATTCTTAGAATCCGTGTCTCCAATAACTTCACTGGCAGAAGAAATTCAACTATGTAGTTACATATTTTGTAGGCTGCTACACAGCGTTGTTCGAGCAGTTCGAAAAACGATAGCTGGATTCTCGAAATTTTCGGGAATTTCGACTTTTTCGGGAAACCCGTTTCCTTCGGAAATCTCGAAATTTTCGGGAATCTGACCCGACCCGACTCAACCTCTTCCCGATATTTGCGGGTTCTTGCACACCCCTATTAAATACTAATAAATACTAAAGCGGTAATGTAAAAATAAATTCTTTAGAAGAATGAAAGAATCGCGTGCAGATGGAATAATTAACGACTCCATGGTGTTCAACAGAGTGGAACGTATCGACCAAATATCGGCTCGTGGAACTTTAGTTTGCGAATACTTCACCGGGCATAACGTTGAAGAGCATCCTCGAGTCATTATCTAGAGGCAAGTGCTCGACTTAGAGTGGGTCTCCGGCTTCATTTCAGTGAAAGTAGTTCAGCCTGGTTGCATCTTAAAATTCTACCAACTCCTATTTTATCGGGATGGAGAGTACGGAAGTAGTCGAGCAAAACGACTCGTCGAACGATGCGAATGAATCGGATTTAAATAGCGTACGAAGTGAAGTATCGTCTGCATCGATTTACGGAAAGGGCTTAGAGCCACCAATACTAGGTAGCTCTTATCGAGCTCCGGATATACTGAAAAAATATATCGAGCCGATAGTTCTTGATACGTCACTGCCTTACGTGAGTATGTCTTCATCGATAACACTCTATGGTTTGCGTCTTGGAGGCGGGTTAATTCAAATTTCTGGACGCGTTTGTTTTGCTTGTATTTTCGTTTGAAATCAGAACTTCCAACGGACAAACACTTTTATGAGAAATCTATTTCCAGATTCCTATTTACACGCATCTGAAAACTCACGATTTAAAACCCATCGAAAGACCCCTGACACCACCTATACTCTCCGAATTGCGATCGAAATGCCAGTGAGTACATGTTAGAGAAAAGTGGATTCTCGATAATAGTTTTTGAACGCAAAATTACATTTGAGAAATGTTTCCAAAAATTTCAGAAATGATGCTGAATCATGCAAATCTTCTAGAGCTTCACTGTCAACCGGAACAATGAGTAAAGGGATGAAAGCGACGAAAGAACTTTAAAAGAATGAAACTGACTATTAGATCCGATTGATTTTTATTATTATTTAATTCCTAATTACAAAAATAAAAGAATCTGATTTTTAAAAACATGAGTTTCTAAATGACAATGGATATTTCGTGTAGTTGTAATTGATTTTATTACAGTCACAGACGAGGTAAATGAATAGACCTTGCATCTTACGAGACTTCGTGCCTATGCTCTGAAATACCAACATAGAAAAAAAATTACTGGCTTTTTTAAACAACGGGAAACTACATCAAATAAAACGATCAAAATTGATCAAGTAGTGAATGCGCCAGAAACATGATCTTTGAAATCTATTATAGTATTGTCAAACTTTCAATACCGAAATGTGAAGCCAGTAACTAATCGAAATTATTCTATTACATATCGCAAAGAGCTATTTATCCATATTTTACGATTCTTTTTTCTAATAAACTAAATTCTAAAGTTATAACATGAAAGTACCTATCAGCTCAAATAAATTTTATTAAACGTTCGATACGAGAGAAATTAACGAAAAGAAGAAAGGACAATCTTTCCATTTACAGATATAATAATATAACCATTGTTGAAGAAATAATTAATACTAGACTTTCTAAAATATTTTTGTACGAAAAATGTACAAATTCCATACACTCACAAATTAGTTACCTGTATGTCAAAATTAGATGTAAGAAACTGAAAAAGATTAGTAAAATCTGTAAAATATGAATATTACTATTTACCTGAATGAAACATCATTCTGTTGTAACAATTTTTTTTCTCTTAGTCACACCCTTTGATTCATAGTCCATTTTCCTAAACCTTCAGCGTACAGTATATTTTCTGAAACAAACTCATGTATTGGATTAGTATTATAATTTAAATAAAAAGACTTGCAATGAAGATATATCATATATACAAAAAAAAAAAAAATCAGAATAGTTGTCAAGATATTATTTCATAATTATACTTTATTAATTGAATTAAATTATTTTTTAACTCTGACAACGTACAACCATTATTATTGATTCCAATAACAATGAACTGGATAACTTATATTTCAAAATAAACTAATACTATCGATTTAATTATTTTGTAGAAATTCAAATTTTCATTACAATATTTAAATATTTTATTGCAATACTTTTCTCATTTCATTTTGTATATATGGCACATGAGATCATTTACATTTTCATATACGTAAATATATTAAATTTATGATACAATTCTGCATTCTAAAACCCGTTGAAACTCGTAACTAATAAAGTTACAGTTAATAAAAAAATATGTATATTTTTCTAGCAGTATTTTCAGTAATGAACGTAGTAGTAAAGGATGCTGAAAAAGAAAACCTAACACAGTAACCAGAAGAGCTACTGACAGAAAATCTAAAACAGTAGCCAGAAGGGCTACTAACAAACATTTCCAACTCAATACAATAACCAGAAGGGCTATTGTTAAATCTGTCAAAATGAACCCGAGCAACAAACCGTATCTTGTTTCGCAACACTAACTCACTAGCACTACTAATTATGAAATAAGGAATTTTCAAAATCAAACGCGAAGAGTGCTTTGTCATATTTAAAACTCCCGAAAATAAGTACGCAATGCTATTAATCTATGCACTCATCCTCAGAAGTACGCAACACTAATTGCGACACGTCCAGTGCAACCATGCTGAAGGTTGCTGATGAATGACCACCTCTGTACAGCTTATAGCTGCATCAGGTGATCCAGAAGCTTTCCACGAATTTAGTGGAAGAATTTGGGCATTTTGTAAACGCAACGCTAATTCAAAAAACGCGATGTCATTCATTATCGCAACACTAAGAAAAAAAAACTAATCGCGATGGAACAATATCGCAACACTAAGAGTAAAAGTAACACTAAAAAATCGCGATGAAACAATGTCGTAATACTAACTCTAACCAATGAAATTCAATGAAAATTATTATTATTTAACAGTACAAAAGCTGCTGTATGAACGAAAAACTACTTCAAATAGTTCAACACTCTAAAATCAAATTAAAAGCAGTAACTCTATAATCTAATTTGAAACAATAGGAACCAAGATAAATTTTATTATAATATAACTCTAAAATAACTTCAAAAATTCACAATCAAAATTGTTAAATCGCGGTATTGTAATTCGCAACTCTAAAGCAAACACGATTATCATTTCTTCGCAACTCTAGTTTAAACCGCAATCAATTTATCGCAACGCTAATAAACAGGCGCGAAACTATTTCGCAATTCTAATTCAACCCGTAATCGATTTCTCGCAACATTAACATGAAAGCTCGCGATTTGCCCAAAACTATGATGAACGATGATGGAGAAGAAAAAAAAATACAACTACAAATACTAAAAGAGCATAGTGACAAAGTAGTAAC